GCGAAGGTCAAAGCGAGAGGAAAAGTATTCCAAAAACGGTCTTCGCACGACTTCGTTTCGTCGTCGATGGAGTCGTGGGTGGAACCATAGAGCGTAGAAACCTGGAGTTCCGTTCTCGATGGGAAAGGCCACCGGTGGAAGTCGGGACCGACCGATTCCCGATCGCTCGCCGCGCACCTGCCGGTCCCTTCGCGAAACGTCTCGTCGCGGGGATCGGTCCTCTTTCCTCGTAGAGGTGACGTGGAACCCGGGACGAAACGGTGCCGTTCGCGGAACGCCTCACGAGGGAAACTCATCCCGCAAAACGAGCAGTTCATGTGCGGAATTTCCCATCGACGAGGGGGATTTCGTCTCGACCGCGAACGAAACCGACTCGTCTCTTAAAGGGCTTCGTGGGCTTCTTTTGTCGTTCGGAATGGATACGAAAAAACGTGGAAAGCGTTCGCAGTCGAGATGTACTGTAAGTGGAAGAGTCCATGTCGTCGTGCGTGCAATTTTCAAGCGCAAAATAGTCGGGAGTTCGCATCGCGATTCTCTTCGGCCTCTCGTCGTCCCATCGTAAAAATGTGGAACGAACGAGGAAAAACAAAAAAGGGGTCGTATGGTGCAATCTCCGACGAAAAGCGCTGGAACTCGACACGACGACGAGTTCCAGAAATAGATAGGATCGCGCACGATACGATCGGATGGAATCGCACGGTTACGTTAATTCATCTTGAGATACTCCAGGAATTCCTCTCCGATGTACAGGCCAGTAAAAAAAGGAGATCCTATACAATGCGTTGTAAAATCTATAGTTGTAAAACGATTCTAATTTAATGTCGACACGTTAATATATGTTTAACAAGCGTTCTTGGGTGCAAATTTGAAACACATAGCTGTACTCATTTAAGAATACAATGAACATGGAAAAAACACGGGTAATAAATTGTGTGTTAACCTCACCTTTGTCTTTTTTCGGATCCCAAAAATGCCATTTTCGCACGAAGACGAGATCATTATGAAGCACTGCAGGCTTGGAAATGGATAGGGAAGAAAGGAATTATTAGCAGAATTTCCAGATAAAGGATGGACAACTCGTGGATTGAATAAATGAACTCGAAAAATTGATCATACTGGCGGAGTAGAAAGAAGACCAGGTCGTGAGCGCCCAAAAAAGTGCAACAACAGAAGAGAACATTGAATTTTTTTTTTCTCGAGAATTCTCGGTCGAGAAGATGCGCCAGGAAGCCCTGACGTTCCTGCACGGACGTCGAAAGCGACAGGAACAACAGAATCTAGCGTAAGTCGTATGGTCAAAAGAGGATCTTGGACTTCGGCCTTTTAACGTGTCCACGGACGAAGGCTTAGTACTGTCGATGAAGTTAAAAGGAGTGACTCGGGCGAACGGACTGCCGAGACAATTCACTTTTCTATTTTCACGGTATTCTTAAATGAATGAAGCTATGGGTTTCAAATTCGCACCCAAGAACGCAGTTAAACATATTTTAACGCGTCGAAGTTAAATTAGAATCGTTTCACGAATATAGACTTTATAGCATGTAGTACAGTGTCTCCTTTTTATCGGCAGACCCCGTACTTTGACCCTGGCTCCCGCGCGGCACGGTCTCGGATGGGCATCCGCGAGGAAGTCGAGGAAGAGCAGGAAGTCGTCTAGGAACGCGAGAACGGAGACGTGGATGTTCTCGCAGTGGATGCCGACCTTCTTCGCGAGGCAGGCGCAGGCGTCTGCGTTGAGATGCCGAAGATCGCCCGGGTGATGGAAGAGGGTGACGAACACGGCGAGACGGCAGGGGACGCAGATCTTCGCGGTCCTTGCGGCGCGGTAGGGATGCACGAAGGCACGTACCACGCACGTCCGCGTCGCATCCGCGTCCCGCTTTTCTGCATCGTGCCTCGTCGACGCGTCCTTGGCACTCGTCCGCGAGGAAGACCGAGGCATCGGCCGTCACGAGAGATCGTAAAACGAACGCGAAAACGAGTACCGAAACGAGTACCACGGTCGGTGCCGGTTCGAGGACGGAGTACGACCTCCGACGACGCACGGTCGCCTTGCATCGCACTCGTACTCGTACTCAGGCGGTGTCACCGGCCGCGGCATCGGTTAGGTGGGTCGATTTTTCCCACGGTCCTCGGTTTCGTGGCGGAAGCGACACGTCGTTGCTTTGGATACGACGTTTCGCCACGGCATGGAACCGGGTCTCGAGCGAATCGATTAACGATTCGATCGAAGTTGCGACCGTCACCCGATGACGTAACGTGGAATTCCTTTCGTTCCTCGAGAGGCCTGGGTCGGAATCCGGACCGCCCGGTCTCGAACGGCCCATCGTCCCCATCGTGCCCGTCGTCTCTTCGCGATGCGTCTCGTCGCAGGGATCGATCGTTCCTTCCCTACGGAAAGGTACCTCGAACCTTTAAGAAAACGGTGCCGCTCCTGAACGCGTCACGGCGGTTCGAGGTTCGTTTAGGAGACGCCGAGAGGCGTGTCGGCTCGTCGCGACGCTCCGGGTCGAGGTCGAACGAGAGTTCTCGTGAGGTAACGTCGACCCTTTCGAGGAGATATTATTATTTTTATCATCATGGGCTCCTACCGTCTCCTCGCTCGTATCTGTGCTGCTCCCTTTTTTTGTCGTCGACGAAGGCACGAAGTCTCTTCTTAAAGCCGGTCGCGGTAGGAGCGATCCCTACATCGTGCATCGATGCGTTCGCGACCCTCGAAGCAGAGTTCCGTCGCAACCTCGCCGGGGTTTACGCAACTCGTGGCGACTCCCCATCGATCTGCTGCTGCCATAAAACAGGAAAATCCAACCACGCGTTATCGATTTCCTCGATCGATAGGCTTTCTAGGCGCCTAACCCCTTTCTCTCGTCCCTTCCCGTGACGAAATGTGAACCTCCTCGCATTCCTCTCCGAGAGGATCGACAGGAACGAAATCGTGCAACTTCCTTCCTTTCTCGACGCGGAATCGCTCCGGCAAATTTGAAGCTCCGTCTCCTCGGGGATCTCCACATTCGACATCGCTTTTTACGACTCCTCGATTTCGTTTCGCTACTTTTTTTCTATCGCCACCGGGGATGGGATCCCACTCGTAACGCGCTGAAGTCGACGACGTCGTATGAAAGTAATGATGTGCGGATAGCGGATGCCGTCGTCCTGATGTTCATGATGTCTTCGCCACGACTAAATGTCGCGGAAAAAAAGATGCTCACAAATTCACGAAGAAGAATCGTCATGGAGCTGGAACATATTAGAGGCCTCTTGCCGATGCAAGACATCGAGTGCTAAACGTCGTAACGATGCTGTCACATTTTCCTATGACGTTGCGACGAGAAATTCTTTCTGGCGTCGACGACGTCGTGACGATGTTTGAAAAGTAATCGACACGCCATCGAAGTAGGTTCTACCAAACGACGCCAGATGGCATCTCGACGCCGCTCTAGCGGATCTCGTTCGTTCGCGTACCGGAAAATAGTTCCCTGTGATTTTTATTTCGGAACCAGGTCTTTACTCGCGTAAAACTCAGGGAAAAGTTTTGAATCGATGGGTAGACCGGTTTAATTGGGTCACACGGCGGAGGGAGACCCCAGGTACTTCTTGCATTCCGGATCGAAGGAAACGTAAGAAACTCTAAATTTGACTCAATGGCATACATCGATACCCGAGCACCCGTTTTCCCTCGGAAGGTAAATTAGCATAAACTTCGAGAGGGTATCGTCTATCGGGTCCTCCAGAAACGTGGAATGATGAGGCCATCCGGTGAACCCTTTCGACGTCGCCTCGACTCGGAAAGCCGGCGTCGTCGCGGCGGGTGGCCGCACGGCAAGTACGTCGACGGGACGAAGCCGAATCCATTTACGGGAAATGGAGTCTCGAGTCGTGCAACGGTTCGAGGACGTCCTCTTGGCTCGAGATTCAGGAAAGGACTTTCGAGGCTTTTGGGGAAAGTGCAGGGGGGTGTGAGTGTCGTCGATTTCGATCCGTACCACCACGATGACCAGTTCTCACTTGATGTCGAGATGTCGTGGGGTGATGTTGTAGCGATATCGCATGAAATGGCATTAAGATGTCGTACAAAGTTATATACAACGTAGTCGCAGCATTCCATATGTTGTCGTACGACGTTTCCAGAACGTCGTCACAACGTATGCGTGTCGTCTGGGTCCCGGGGAATTTTCGGAGGAAAGAGACCAGCCATTAGAAAGATATCGACCTGTTAGATGAGGAAAATAACCCTTTTCGTCGTTCGGCGATCCATCTTTTCGTCTTAAAAAAATGAAATCGACCGTCGTGATGATTCCAGGAACTCCAGATGAGCCTTTACGTTCTTCGTCCGCACCGAAATCGTTCTTGAAACTCGAAACGGGCCTTTAATCGGTCGACAGTCCTCTCTGAAACGGTCCGTGAAAGTTGGAATAGACCTGCGATCGGATTGCGTCACCCCTCAGCACGATCTGAACATTTTTAAACACCTCTCTCATGAAAGTCCCCTTACTTCCAGGATCGGTCTTGTGGCCCGCCTCTGGACCCCCTAACGTCGTTGGGTCGTCTTTATTTGTCGTTCACAAGGAATCTCATCGCGGAAAACCGGCTATTTACGAGTCAAGTTTTCTATCGACGAGGGGGATTTCGTCTCTGCCGAGAACGCAAAGGCCTCATCTCTTTTAAGGCTTCACGTGGTCCTTTATTCCATATAAATATAAAAAAGCATGGAAAACGCCCGCAATCGAGATGCACCGAAAGTGAAAAATTCCACGTAGTCCTGCATGCATTTTTCACACTCGAATCACAAAGTCGTCAGGCGTTCGCATTCTCGTGGGCCTTTCCTTGTCCGTTATAGCGACGTCGATCCGACGAAGGAGAATTGTCGTACGGTGCAATCTCCAACGAGAAGTGCTGGAACTCGATACGACGACCCGGCCAGGAATACGACTCGAAAAGGAAACGTCCAGAGGTCGAAAGGACGGCGCACGATACGACCCGATGGAATCGCTACGGTCACGTTAGTTGATCTTGAGATACTCGACGAGCTCCTCCCCGATGTTCTTTCCTTTGGCCGCGGCCACCTTCGCTCTGCCGTAGCTGCGTCTGACGTAGGCGTCGACGAAGAAGTTGAGGAAGAGGAGGAAGTAGGAGAGGTACATGAGAGCGGAGACGTAGATGTTCTCCCACGGGGTCTCGCAGTGGAGGCCGAGCTTCCGAGCGAAGTAGGCGTAGGCGTTCGCGTAGATCCCGAACGCCATCTGGGTGATCTGGAAGAGGGTGATGGACATGGCGAGACGGCGGGGAACGTGGATCTTCGCCGCCCGTGCGGTATAGTAGGGATACATGAAGGCGTGAGCCAAGGCGTTGAGGGTGACGAAGAAGCGGCCGGTGGGGACTCCCTGCGCGCAGGAGTACCAGGCGTACAGGAGCACCGTGACGTGATGGTACCAGTGGAGGAAGAGGAGACGCTGCTTCCGGAGGACGATGAACGCCGTGTCTCCCAGTTCCACCACCTTCGAGACGACGAACAGGATCCCCCACACCGAAACCACCGGGTTGTGTCGCAGGTGGCTACGATCGGAGGAGAAATAAATTCGTACATCTTTTCGATGAGTCTCGAGGAACTGGAACTCACTTAGCACCTTCCGATTTTCGCAAATGACCTCACGCAAGCGCCGATAGCTTGATTTTTTTTGTTAGTTTAACGTTGCCATTGGTTCATGCCTATATTTTTCATGAAATTAATCAAACTTCTGGTTGAAGATGACCTCGGTTTTGGTTGATTGAGGTGCAAAACGTTGTATGGAGAATTCGGATGAATTTTACTTATAGCGTCATGCCTGTCCAGTTTTTTTTTTTTCATGCTGCTATGATTGTGTTCAATGAAAAAAAAAGAAGAACCGTTTCAGAGGTTTCATGATCAAAGAAAAAAAAGATTCTGCTTCCCCTTTTTCGACAATCCAGCCACGTCAGTCATCCTCATAATTTGACCTTTGCCCCCGTGCGTGCCGACTTCCCATCGATTCGGTCCCGTTGAGGTGAAATAATAAAATGCGAAAGTGTCAGGGTTACTTTTTTTTTCCTGCCGACTCCGTTTCGAGAAGAAAGAAACTAAGCCATCTCTTATATCTTGCCGGAAGTTGCAGCAGAAGATTCCATTCCTGCATTTCCAGGAATTAAATCTTCTGTCATTTCAAGGAGCGCCTTCTAATGAAGCATTTCAAGGCGATAAAAACGTTCGCCCGCACGGACCCGAGCCCCGACTGGACTTCTCACCCGTACCCGCCCACCACCTGCAACCACCTGCAACTGCCTGCACCCACCTGCAGTCGCCCCAGTCCCTCTTACAGCCCAATCTCATTCACCTTTTCCGAACATGAAAAAAATTGCATCATGATCATTACATAAGGAAATGAAGATGAAATCGCTCGAAGTGCCTTCCAATATTGCAAAGATTTCTCTTCTTCCAGAAGAAGGAGACACCTCATACGTTCTCAAACCTAAATCTTCTGGGAATCTGGAAGAAAAAAAAATCAGTATGATGACTTCCTGGTGCTTTTGATTCAAATTTCAACCGCATCTGCGCTGCATTTCCGGTCCTGCAGGAGAATTTCGACCTTCTGAAATAATAAATTAGTTCCATGGCTCTGGGAAAGTGTGCAGCCCATGCATTTTGTCGAGGGAAAAGTAAGAAACGCGTTTTAAAGAATATTCTCAGGCGTTATTCAAGGCACGTTTCATCTGCTTCCGGTTCTGTTCCCCTCTGGCGTTTTCGCCGTAGATTGGTTCACAGGGAACGATTTATCATCGTATTGTCCGTGAATATTAAACCCGTTCGATTTGATTTATAGGCGTCTAGAAGAAGAAGGGCTTTCGGAGAGCCAAGTTTTAGCATGAAAAAGGGAGACGGGTTTCTCTTCCTTAATTTTATGCCAGAAAAAACCTGAAAGGATTAATCCGCCGTTGTGAAGCGTTTTCGAGAAGCGACATGATTATTTCGTCGAATATTTTGTCAGCATGGAACTCTCGAGCCGAATCGCGGGAGCCTCGTCTCGAGAACTCGAAACGGGACGTTTCGGCGGTGAGTGGGATCCGTCTTTCCCGAAGGGAGCCATCTTGGGTCCGAAGGCGAGTTCCGAAGCATCGCGCGATGTCGAGAACGAGACGATGTCGCGACCGTCCTTTTCGGCTTCTTCCGCCGAAATTACGGGGACTCCGGGGCCGAGATCGTGTCTCGTTCGTATCCGTCGCGATGACGTTTGCGGGAGATTCGTTTCACCGTGGAGAGATTTACGGTGCCCGAACTCGAGAGGCGAAGAGAGGGGAGACGAAACGATCGGATTTCGCGGCGAAACGACGTCCCCTGGATCTGCGTCGTGCTTTTGCGTCCAACTTTTCCGGCTCGTGCGTCGCCGAGGCGCGTACGAGTTACCGTGGCTAATGTTGGCTTAAGGACGGAGTACGACCTCCACCGGCACGCGGTAGCCTTACTTTCTTCTAGTACTCGTCCTCCGGCAGTGTCGTCGGCCGCGACACGCCCGATGACTCTATCTGCCAGCATGTCGGTGAGCCGGAAAGCGAAAGAAGGCTAAAAATGCGATAAGTATAAAAGTACGGTTCGTGGGAAAAGGAGTGGGAATCTCCGGAGCCTCGAGATCTTCGCCCTCGGATTTCGTCTCGCTCGTGCCAACGTACAAAATTCGATGAATTTTGGATCGGCCCGAGTCGGCCGTTTGCAGCTCGCGTCAGAAACGACGGGGAGAGTCTTCCTTCTCTCGGGAACTTTTCCGAAAACGAAAACGAGATCGGGAAGGCAAGGCGATGGACGCGGAAGGGACGTTCGCCCGGCCTCTGTCGTCGTCGTCGGTAAGCTTCGTGGCGTCGATGAGGGTCGACAGGGGTCGACAGGGGTCGCGATGCCACACATGAGATGGAGTTGCCCCGTGAACCTATATTTCCGGAGCGCCTCGAGGGTTCCACGAAACGCGATTGCGATTCGTTTGGGATGAACGGAGTGGCTGCTGTGGCGTGCTAAAACCCTGTCGTTAACGAGGAGAGAGATGGAAGACCGAGAGTGGATTGCATGAAACAGACTTTAGCGTAATAAAGCTGGAACACGTCGACTGTCCGTGTCCAGTTACCGAGTCTCGAACGGCCAGACCGGTGAGCCCACGTCCAATTAACTGGACGAGGGATCCATTCATTTTCCCTTAGCACCGTAACCTTGTGGCTTGGGGGGTTCATGCGATATCCGGCAAGCCCCAGTCAGGAGATTCTCAGAGTTCTCTGTAGCAAGTTGGGAACGGCAGTCGATGCGTTAAACCTCCTTTAGCGGTGCCAATGGAACTTTAAAGCTTCCTCACGCTAAAGTCAGTTTTATGCAATCCAGCCCGAAACATTGGGGTTTCTATTTCCGGCCCGGTTCGTGGGGTTCTGCCTCCTACCGAAATTCCTGCTTCTCGATCGGCTACTGTTGCAATTTTAAAGGATTCGTTCCCCGATTGCATGCAGAGACGGACCAAAGGCACGAGAAGAAGGAAAAACGTTTACATCCCTTGCGAGCCGTTTTCGACGCGGAAGGATTCGTGAATTCGATCGGGAGGAGTTTCTTTTCGTAACGTTCGGCGCGTCTGCAGGCGATCGGAAGGCACCGGAGTCGAGGTCTCCTCGACTTCGAGCTTCGCGACCGACTCGATCGTCTCTCGGAGGCAGAAAGGAACCAGAACTCACTATCCCAAGCACATGGAGAAGTAGAGGGAATCGTCTCTGACGGTCCGGTAGATCTCGGGGACGGCTCTATAGGCCGAGAAGATGCTGAAGACGGAGAGGAACAAGTTCCAGGCGATGAGGGGTTTCTGCAGGTCGTAGGCCGGACGAGACGCCATCCATCGTCGACCCCAGAACACGAGGATCAGGTAGAGGGCGACGAAGACGAAGGAGACGGTCCAGTAGTCCATGAACCATCGCTGGGCGTACTCCGCTTGGCGGCCGGCGAGCTCCCACTCGAAGACGTACGAGTAAGGGAGGTTCTCCCGTTCGAAGGGGATGTCGCATACATCCAGGTAGGCGTGGAGCTGTTTCAGCTGTTGGTAGCGGGTGCCGTTGAAGGTGGGGTAGGTGCTGGGCTTCACGCAGGTCGACGGGGAGGGGAACATCTCGGCGCCTGGGCGAGGGGAGGACTGCGAAAGGGGAGAGGGGGGCGGAGGCTCTTATTTTTCATATGGGGCATATTCCGCATACTTGCGGTGACATCGTTCTATTCGTGGGGCAGGTCCCCTTTCGCATTCTGGAAGACGACTTTTCTTTTTACTCTGTTCCTCGTTCGAATGTAAGGTCCAGTTTCGTCGGGGCGTCGTTACAAAACGAGTCCTCGCGCAACTTTCCCGTTTCGCTGGGACCCGGTCCGATTGAAGGTTGAGTAATTGAGTTGCGTCGACGGCAGTTGCGTGGATCCGGTCGATCGGTGAACTCGACCGAAGTTCACCGATTTTTCCGGGTCAGATACCGTCCCGAGGACCCGCCTCCTCTCGATTGCATAACGAGGTCCTCGAGCTCCGATCGTCGGCGAAGTGGCAGGGGTGGGGGACACGTTGGGGAACGAGGGGGGGGGGGGGGGGGGTATTTTGCGTTCCATATTGCGCTACAATGGGCGTAATTATGCATGACTTATTTCTATCAGAGGCCTTCTTTCACCCATTAGTTTTGTCATCTTCAGTTATTTAATTAAATTTTAAATGTATAATATATGGTGTGATATGGTAAATTTATACAAAATATGAAAACTACATATAACGCATGAAAATTTCAATTACAATCACGAAAAAGCTCAAAAATGCAAAAAAGAATATTATTCCGATGGCGGCCTTAAACCGAGTCTGAAAGGGTTAAAATGTTTGCATGGAATAATGGATTCGAGGGCGCAGGAATGGTGGGCCATCATCCTTCCCTCACTAATGGATATCCCTATCCCGTTTACTTATGGTCGGCGGGGATTTTTTTTTAGAATAGAAGCAGGAAACGATCGGAGGGCCGGGGCCGTGTCGCGTTCGTTCGTGACGGACCTGGAACGTAATTCACGATGATGAAAGTGTATTCTCGATGAAGTCGTTCGACGACTTTTTTTCCTTCGTCAGTCACTAATTTCAATCTCTCGCCTGAGGAAAACGAGCAAGCGATGCCCCACTTCCTTCCCCCCCCCCTCTTGCCCCCCTCATCCTTTCAGTCGATTGCGAAACCGAGCCGACGAAAGGGACCGATCGCACCTCGTTCGACCGGGCGTTCGTTTCGACGACGCCGGCAATATCGACGGTCGTCCTCGAAATGCGACTTCTCTCGTCCCGGTTCCCAAGTTTTCGTTCGCTCCGACGACTTCCGAAGCCGAAACTCTTATCGCGCGTACGGTTCCCGTTGCCGCCAGAGAGAAGGACGCGAAGGCAAAGACCCAGAACCTTGTTAACATTTCCAGCCCAGAAATTCTCGCGAGGGAAAATAGAAAAAAGGAGGGGAAACCACGTCGAGCACGAGGGGAGGAAATTCCGATCTCGGAATGGATTCGTTTCCGTTTCGCCTCCATTTCTCCCGGTTCGCCTAAATGGATCGAGGTCAGGGTTGGGGATGTCGAGAACGTCGAGGCTCTCGCGTCTCGAGTCGAGGTCGAGAGTTCCCTCCGAGTCACCTCATCCCTCTAAACACGAAAAACACAGGTGATATGTTTGACGGCGCGGGAGCCCTCCGACCTTCGTCGTCTCGGCGGCTCGATTCTCGGCTCCCGCCGTCGGCCGCGATATCACCACCCCGTTGTTACGATCGGGTGACGGTCGCGGTCGACGGTGAGACGGTGAGACTGGAGATCGGCGAGACGATCGCGTCGTCTCGGCGTGGTTGGCTTTCCGTGAGGGTTCGAGTCCGGTTCCGTCCTGTTTTTCGCGCTTTCGGTCGGGTTTCTCCGGATCGCGAGGGAGGCGAGGCCAAGGGATCGCGAGAGTCCGCTTTCTTCACTCTCAAGCGGGTACTGACGTGCGCATACGCGAATCGAATTTCCGGACGGCTACGTGTCGTTCTCCCGCTCCAAGTCGTAAGCGACAGCTAGAAAAACTCAGATACGAAAGGGTTAAAGATCGGTATGACGTTTGCTCGTTTCGCTGGTCTTCTCGGCGCAGGGTGTCACGCGATGGAATCCCGTCGGGACGCCTGGGTCTGGCCTTTCCCGCCCCACGTGCGATCTCTTCGAGTGACGTCACGGATGCGAGAGAGGGAACGGAAACGAAGCCCCTTCCGCTTTCGCTCTCGGTAGCGTTCCGGTTCTCGTCGAAGCGACGGAGAGCGAATCCTCGTCTTTCTGAGAGGGTCCTATGGAATGGCGGCATCGAAACCCTCGCCGCGAGGCGTGGTTCCGTGCGTTCGTGGTCCTCGAGCCCAGAGAATCCCTTTCGGGTCCGACGGAGGTCGACCGACCTCCTTCGCTTTCGAACCTCGAGAGAACTCGAACGACCCCCGAACTCGAGACTCGGCCCCGTGTCGACCCGAATCGTGGACGAGTCCTCTCGGTCGACCGAAACGAGCGTTCCTTCGATCGTGCCGGTCGTTCGTTAGTCTGTTCGTCGCCTCGTGCGTTCCGCGTCCCACGCGACGACGCACCGTTCCGAATCGACCGTTTCGTCTTCGGATTCTTTAGCAAGATCGTCGTCCGATGCTCTTCGGGGCAGCTCGACCCCCTCGGATCGAGACGAACCCCTTCTTTCCCAGACGTAACCCCCAGGCCTTGCCCCTCGACTCGACCCGGGAATTCAAAAAATCCTATCGGCATCCTCTTCTCGGTGGGCCCACCTCGCACGATTCCGTCGCTCGCCGTCCCGTCCGTCCTCCCTTCGATTTCGCCGCGGCGATCGTTTCCGTTCCTCCTTCGGTCCTCTCGCGTTCGCGCTCGAGCGAGAGCCCCGAAATCGTTACGATTCCTGCCCGAGGCGTCCGAGTCTGTCTTTAGACCCTCTCGCGTTTCGATAGTCGTGGAAGCATCCGGTGACCGAAAGCACGATTCACTTCATAGAGAAAAGCGTTTCTGGGGCAGTACCGAGAAGTGCAAAAGGTGAAGCACTGGACCGATATAAATAATGAAGCATCTTTGGATCTTCGGCAACAGAGCTCGGATTTTTCGATACTTTATTCGGAACGAGTACCGATACTAGCTCGTAAAAGTACCGAAGAGTTCATTTAGATCGAAAAGTTCACTGGCTCCCCGAGAGAAAGAAATACAGAACGGATTCCGTCTATTTGTTCGTCGATGGTCTCAGCTCTCGCTGCGGGGTACCTTTTGGAGGTGGTGCTCTTCTTTTAGTGCTGGTAGTACTGTTGAGTACTCTCACGGATGTATGGAAGTCACCTGAATAAATGATGCTTTTTCTCGTCCTAAGGCCGATGCACACTGACAGCGAAGAGCTGCGACAAAGCCGCACTGCGACCGTCTGCGAAGTTCGCAGTCGTTTCTTGACCGCGACCGTCTGCGAAGCGGCATCCACGCTGGTCGCAGAGCTCCCAAGCCAAATCAAATACGGCTATGTACAGTTTGAGAGCTCGTGCTGCAACGCTTTTGCTTTTTTGTCGGTACGGTAGATAGGTACGTCCTCTATACAGATTCCGTCATCAGATGGGAGAATTCCAGACCCTACACTCTTAGAAAAGAGCGATTTCCTCGAAAGGGAGCGAAACTGGAGCTAGTGGTTTTACTCCCTAAAAACTAGGAAGTGATGTCGCTCATCTCTCTCTTTCCTGAGAACAACTAACTATTTCTACTAGTTTGAAAGTACTCTTCCTCGTTTGTTTCGCGCTCTTAAAAAAGGCATCGATTTTTCTCTCATAAAAGAGTTGTTATCGATTGCATTTCCTCGTTTTTAGGGAGTAAAACCGCTAATTCCAGTTTCGCTCACTTTTTTTCTGAGTCTAGTAGAAAATATTATCACCGTAGACAAAGAGTGTTTTTCTCCTATGTCCGTGAGAATGTCACTTGAGCTTGATGAAGCTGTTCTCGATCTGCTGGAAGAGAGGGCAGGACATAGACTTGAGACCATGCATTTCCCCGCGCAAGTGGTGGCAGTGGCATTCATTTCGGTAAATGCATATTATGCAATTATTCCGTACGTCTCAAATACGTACAAATCATACGGAACTCTCGTGAAGGAGGGGACGACTCAAGTTTTGCACTCGAAGAACAAGTACGTCTCAACTTAAAAAATTAAAATTAAAATTCATGAATTGAAACGATGGAAAATAATCAGGAATATAATTGATATCGAGACCTTTCTTGGATATTTATCTCTGTAACTATGTATCTCGCTCATGGAGAATCAATGGTGATGATTGGCATCATCTACCGTCGAAGTCATTCCACCAGGAGAGCCGCCAAACTATTCATAATATGTATCCAAGAATTTCATAACTTGCAGTCAAAAGATACGCAGAACGAACCACTGCTTGGAATGCGACAGGAATTGACCCGTCCGAATCCGTTACGAAGCGCAAAAAGACCGTCTGCGAAGGTCCCACGCATCTCCAATGCGACCGACTGCGACGAGCTGCGACGGTCGCAGTGGTCGCAACGCAGCTCTTCGCAGTCAGTGTGCATGGCCCTTTAGAATGCGGTCGCTCCATTTATCGTCGACGATAGAAAAAATTCCTCCAGCTAGGTCCTGAAAATTCCATGCCAATGAAAATTTACATTTCAATTTACCACCGGTCGGTGTCAGTTAACCATTACTGGCGACGCTGAAAACTTTCTTCTGTGTGGTACGAGGTAAATCTAAGCAAATGAGGAATTTGAGAGGGGGAAAAGGCACAGAAACGGGCGGTTACGTCTGCCCCCCCGGCAGACGTAACCGCCCGTTTCTGTGCCTTTTTGTATGGTGAGATCAGGTGGTAACGTGACCTGGACATAGTTAAAATTCGAAAAGGATTTTACGGGGTACAACTACCCGAAACAACCCTAATCAGAATGAGAACGTTAGAAATGATGCAGAGCGATCCACGAGATGGAGAATCAGGGTTTGCTTTGCGTCCGTTCTCTGGAGGGTCTACATGCATCCATCTCACGAGGAAACTCCATTATGCTCGTGGAAGAGAATGCTTCTTGGTTTGAGAAAGGATTCACTCATGGACTGCATAT